AGCCAATAGTCGGCAAATAGAATTGAAGGAAAAAGAAATATATATAGTCGCACGAGGCGAAGATATTTTTCGTTCGCATGCAGAGCAAATATGCCAGAAGCTATCGAACAAACTAATATTGACCGTCGGTTTATCCAGCGATAGTGAAACTTGGTTCAACGTTTTCGCTCGAGGTAAGAAGAACTCGTGTCCTCCTGAACTTTGAATATTTCCATTTATATATGTGTTTTATATTAATTCGAACGAGACAAAGCTTCAGAGAATAACGTACGTCTCGAATTTATTCAGTTATCAAAATTGTCCAATGCCGATTGTGAAACATTTAGAGAATATTTAGAAGAAATATCAATGAAAATCGTAACTGCGCTCAATCGATCAGAGTTACGCGAAAATTATTAGAATTAAAGGATAATCAGGTTCGATAATTAGGTTACATTAGGTGCATTAATTTGACATTTATTCCGACGGAAATCCAGTGAAATTTTCCGAGACAGGCAATGAATCTAGTCGAGTTATCGAACTTTGAGCAAACTTTCCCTTCGATAAATCGTATCCTCGATTTAACTCTTACAATTGCCCCTATCACTTCTCCTGTATAAAGTTGAAACAATGTTAAGAAGTTGAATTAAGTGTCGCGTAATTTCGAACGTTCTAATACCACATCTTCTCGCAACCATCGATTTAACCATCTCGATTTGACAAACATAAGATTCGTATTTGTTCAACAAATTATTTTCGATTCGCCGAAAAAAAAATTACGAAAACTCTTCTTTCCCCTGGAACAATTAATCTTATTATCCTTTTTTCGTTCACTGATATTTCATTTCGGTTTATTTTTATATTCAATCACTCGAATCGATAAAATTCAAAACAAATCTATTCCTCTAAATATTCCTCTTACTTTTTCATTCTCACGATGGAAATGCCATTTCGTGAACAAAGATCGCCACTATAAACGAGGATAAATCCCAATTTTCGAAACGACCTCTTTCGAAAAGATCTCTTTCTAACCACCATCCGCGATAAAAGGCGTTAAACAGGCGTAGCGATTGAATTAAAAGCGACGTAATACACAGTTGGCCGAGCGCGATAATCCATTAACAGCGATTCTCAGCAAATTTCAATCTTCAACATCAAAACCGGAAAACCGTCCATTCCATTCCATTCCATTTTTTTTTATCTCCCATGTATGTGTTAGATCCAACGCGATAAATTGCTCGTATCGGTGGCCATTGTGCAACGAGAAAAATTATCAGCTTGTTCTTCAATCTTGAATGGCGAGCAAAGTGTACAAATTTCGCGTGACAATGATATTCACATCGCGAATGAAGATCTCAATTCTTCTCTTCGTATCGAAACATTATTACGTGAAATTGTATAAAATTAATTTCAAATATATATATATATGAAGTTTCAAATTTGTTTTTTTTTTTTTTTTTTGATTTAAGATCGATTCCATTATGATATTTATACAACGTAGCGATGTAGAGTTTCGAGGCTTAATTAAATTTCGATCAAAGCCTCGAATTCGAAACATTAATTTTATCCATAAAGAGGATTTTCAAGATTAATTATCGAGTCCGGTTTTGGCTTATTTAAACGTATAATTTAATAATCTAGTCGTCGCTAATCGTCACGCAGATTATACGAATGAAAATTTAATTATGAATCAAGGTTGATGATCAAATATATTTCAATTATCGCGCTTAATCTCTTGCGTTAATCAGACGCGTACACCATTTCAAGCTATATTTTGAATAATTTTAATTATTATTTTTTTTCCACCAATTCGTATCGATCTTCGAACAAAAATTAAATACAACGAGATATTTTCGAGATGTATCGAGCATGTGAATCGTGTCGAATGTCGTATCCATTTATTCAATACGCGCATAATGGAATTTCTTAGATAGAAGGAAAATAGCAGGCAAATGGCGCGGTTTTTTTTTTTTTCTTTCTTTCGTTGAAAAAAAAGTTCACCGATCGTGAGGGAAGATCGTTCAATGAAAATCCAAGCGTATTCGTGACGTTTCACATTGTCTGGAATTCGCTTTTGTTATTCGGTCGGAAGAAAAGTCGGCGATGCGGAGGAGGCTGGATCGAAAGTGAACAAATGCGAATCGTTTCGGGCAAAAGTCGGTGAGAAAATACGGGGCGAGGATTGTAACGAGGATATCGGAAATTTCGCCGTGTTGTTGTTGTTTCTCTCTGTTGTTTTTCTCGAATCGCAAATTTTCGTAAAATTTAATCTCGTTCCTTTAATCCTTTCTCTCTTTATCGTTTTCGAGAAATTTTAAGAAGAATAAAGTAATCGTTTTCTCTCTAAATTTATCTTCTTGGAATTGCGATGCAACTGCAGAAGCAATGCAAGTATAGATTCGATCAAAAATTTATGATCCGAGATCTTAAATCGTTCAATTCGTAAAATTTTTCTCCTCGTTTGCAACAAAATCGAGCGAAGTAAAACGAAATGGACCGTGGCAAGGTCGACGAAGATTTGGCATAAATTTGCAGAATTCCAAGGATGAGAAGGGCAGAGTGCATCTTGCTATCGTTTCGACGTGTATCTCTCTTTTATATCCTTGTATCGAACGAATTATTCTTCCAAGAACAACTGCAATATTCCTCCTCCGGAAGATGCAAGAGGGATGAGTTGGCTCTCGTTTGCGATGAAAACACGAAACGGCTACACGTGAGTTATGGGAGGCAAAGTGGAGCAGTCAATAAAGAAGAAAGCTGGGGGAGGGGGGAATAAGAAGGAAAAAAAAGTCGATCGAGATGATTGCGAAGTTTTCTGGCAAAGTGGGATATTACGGTTTCTTGTCTCTCGTTATTTTAATTTCCGGTCTCCAGATATTCCATAACACTCGACGTCAACCTCGCATAAATCAACGATAAAACGCGATAAAACGATTGAATTTACGTTTGCATACGTGTAAAACTACGTATTCGCGTTTGTTGTATTCTATTGGATTATATTTTTAATTATTAATTAATTATTTATACACGTATGTATTATTCGTAGAATATGATCGCGACAATTAATTAAAAATAAAACAAAAAACGAGAGAAGCTTTCTATCTTACTTGAAAAAATTTTGATAAATATCGCGTGTGATCAACCTCGATGGAGATAATCGGTTTGACTTGCACAATTTGCTTTTAATTTTGGAAAATTAAAAGCCACGAATATCCATCCGTGAAATTTATTTAATTTTAATTGAGTTTGGCTTCTATAAACGCGCGATGCTTACAAATATCGCGCAAGTACAAATATTTTTGATAAAACGCGTTTAAAACAATATCTTACGATCGATCTTACATTCTGAAAACACTTCTTCCTTCATATCCTCGAAAAAAAGGAGAATATCTTTTTTTAATCGAATATCATTAATTTTCGAAACATTGATCACCCGCTTCAACGATGTGTTTGCGGAACACATTCACACAGCTCTACATCAATTTTTCGCATAGAGAAATTTTCCTATTCCTACGAACGTGCAAATCTTCCAATTATCTATTTAAAATCACGATACAGAGATAAAGAAACGGAATTTCGTAAGTATAATCCTTTTCTTGCCTCCTCACTCCCCTCCAATTTCTCTTATGCAGCGATACAACACGCAGATGAATAATCAAATGGAACAAAAGTAAACGGAGAGACAAAGGGGCAATGATAAAACGAGGGGAGAAATATGATTTATCTGGCGCAATAACGGCAGGTTCGCCGACAGAGAGAGGCGGAAATATAGGACGGAAAACGCGGAAACAAGAAGGGAAATATATAAAGTTGATCGCCTCTTGAAGCGGGTCGTTGTGCAAAATTTCGTCATATTCTTATGTTGCGTTTTCGTTATCTCTTCGACTCGACGCTTATAGAAGCGTCGTTGCACCTCTGAATATCTTCGACGCGATAAGGGATCGATCATGGATCATTCGCGTTTAATCGTCTCGAACGCAAATTTCTCGAAAATTCTCGGCCAAAATTTTTGACCTTTTCTAAAACTCATCCCCCCATTTCCACTTGTTCCCCGAAAGGAAAGAAAGTTCTCCAACTTCTTTTTCCCCCTTCTTCGCTACTATTTCTAGCGGAATATTTTAATAAGACTTTACGAGAATTAATGGGAATGAAAAAAGTGACACTCACTCGTTTCGTGTATAAAATTCAAAAAGAAGAAACAGGAGTCGAAGTGAAATTTTCGATCGATCGTGAAAATTCCAATAACGATTTCTCGATCGTTATCAGAAAAAGATTATTTTACCTTAAGAAATTGCGATGAGAAAGATATAAAAGTTGTATAAGTTCGACGAGTATCTTTCGTGTGAAAAAAAAAAAAAAGGAAATCAATTTTCGATTTCGCCCGTTTTAATAATTCAGGACGAATTATGAACGGACGTATTTTGTAACGAAATATTTCAAACTTCCTCCCCCCTCCCCATTTCATTTCCACGCGGAGAATTTATTAGGTATCGCGTCACTCGTCGCGCAAAAATATTTCACGTATCTCGATCATGCGTTTCAACGCAATAATAATGATAATAATAATAATAATAATAATAATAATAATAATAATAATAATAACAATAATAACAACAACAACAACAACAACAACAACACTGTAAATATTATTCCACGGTATCGCGCGGAAAACACGCGGGGGAATAATACCATTTCGCCGTTTATTGCAGATCGAGAAAAAAAGGGGGAGACGTAAACGTCGTTATCTGTGTATCGTGAATCCTCGAGAAAGGGGGAAAAAAAAAAGAAAAGAAAGAGAATAAAGTAATATCCAAGAAGGTGTCCAGGTACTTGTTGGAGCGACGAAAATAATTTCTGATTCCATGATTTCGTTGGTGTTGAAAATTGCGCCGCTTTTTTTTTTTTTTTTTTTTTTTTTTTTACGTTTTAGAAAGTAGTACGAACATGAAATCAGCGCGGCTGCACGAGATCACGAGATACTTTTCACTCAACGGAATGTACGATATGTGTATATGTTCTAGGCTCTCGTCTTCGACCGACAATTGTTGTAGGAGAAACAATTGAGTTCGTAGGTATAATGGGTTCTTCCATGGTAAGTCTTTAGCGAAACAATGTTCCATCGATTATCGTAATCGCTACTTACGTGTCGTGTAACACTATTAGAAAGTTACTTAGACCATTAGCGGTATTCAGAGTGGTGTTTTTACGTGTGCATAAAGAGAGAGAGAGAGAGAGAGAGAGAGAGAGAAGAATAGACTGAGCTT